TTGAGGTCGTCTGCCAATAAAGCTAGGTAACGTTTGGTTGAGTCAGTATTAGTCGCACAGCTACACAAGTTCATGTGTACGCCCACAGGCAAACCAACTACGCGAAGACCGATGGGAGGAGATTGAAAACAGTCATCACCTTTGAGAGAGGCTCACCATCAAGAGAAGGGCTTGCACAAGCATCGGTTGTTTTCACTATTCGGTTGCCCTTACGTAACCACAATGCGGTCTGAACATTGTTCTGTCGCATTACTCCACATTCCTTGCTAATGAATGGACGACTTTCTGCTTAGCGTAGAATGTGTCCAATTTAGTTTGCAAACATCCAATTTAATCTGAAGATGTTGTGTACCACGAAACCTGACTTTGACCACTCTAACCGGAACGATTTTTCTTCCTTGTTTGAATGTCTACCAACTAAATTTTACGCTAGCAGACCTCTGTATGTTGAGCACCTCTCAGTGCCAGCCACTTTGCTCCACTCTCTTGAGTGGTCAGCTGAGAGGTTTTACTAATGGACCTATATTGTTAGGCCAAACGAAAACAGAGAAACGGAGCTGTGTAATAAGATGGTTATTTGCTTATCAGTCAGTCTCAAAAATACGACAACAGGACGTGCGAGGCACTCTAGGTCACATGAACACAGAATCCAAATTATCAGTCAATAATTACGGCTGACGGACGCACTCGTCTAGCGTCCAGCCATGCACATCATTTGGATTCACTGACCCATTCGTTAGGAGGTGCTCCTTCCTAACACCTCCCCGGTTGAAGTTCACTGTCATATGTTTTCAGCCTGTGGTTAACCTAGAGCGACGTGACAGGAACTCGACAACGATCGGACCATCTGGGTCGACAATCGGGTGAAGGAGAGGTTATTGGATTGATAGGCTTATCTTGCTTAGTCGCCTCTGTTTTTGGTATTTTGAGCTCGCCCGTAAGCAATTCAAGAGGCGTAGTTGGGGCATCTTCTCTTCTCTCAAATGAGATGTAGTTTTTGAGTTGATTGATGTGGTGGATCAATCTGTCCTCGCTTACGGTCACTTCATAACAGGCATTGTCATAACTTTTTACAACTATTTCAGGTGTCCAAGAGATTTGGTTGTTCCGATAGTCTTTTGTCAACACTTTCGTCCAACTTCGAAGTTTCGTGGTATAGCGCGAGGCCTTCGGTTGTACTGGTGCTCCATTATCCAGTTTCTTTCGGGATTGGCTCTATCTGGCGGCTTTATTAGATCAAATTTCCTTCGGGACCTTCTGAGCAGGAGTGATTCTACTGGGGACTTCCATTCAGACGTCTGTGGATTAGGCGTAATCCTGTACCTTAACAGAGACGTTTGTAGGACCTCTTGGATTGGTCCGTCTCCTTTTGCTTTGAGCATTGCCCTCTTGAAAGTATCCACAAATCGTTCAGCTTTCCCATTTGACTGTGGATGGTAAGGAGGTGAGCTTAAATGCTGCATGCCGTGTACCGCACATAATTCAGCAAAATGTGAAGAGGTAAACTGTGGTCCATTGCCGGATACTACTGTTTCCGGAAAACCGAACCGACTGAATACTCCCCTGAGGACTGTAATCGTAGGCGACGTTGATTTGTTCGACATTTGGAAGGTTTCGGGCCATTTGCTGTATACATCGATGATAAATAAGTAGTTCTGTCCTTTGCTTGGTCCTGCAAAATCAAGGTGAACCCTTGACCATGGTTTCGTGGGCTTTGGCCAGGAGAACACTTCGCACTTCCGTGGCGATTTTGCTGCTAGGGCACAATCTGATTAGGAACGTGTTAACTCCTCAATTTGAGAATCCATAAACGGCCAGTACACATAACTCCTCGCTAGAGCTTTCATTCTGTTGGAAACGGGGTGTCCAATATAAAATTGACGTAAGACTTTAGATTGAAGTTCGGCTGGTATGACGACACGTTCACAGTCTTCGACGACCGATATTGCATTTCGTCTCTGGAATACTTGTTGTAGCTGTGCGTCGGAAAATTTTCAAGGCCACTGTGAGTGGTAAAACGTGCTCACCTGTGACAGCAGCGCGTCCCGTAAGGTGGCGTCTCGAATCTGACTGAAAGATATTGGAAGCTGGCTCACGGTATCTGAGAGTACCCGGTTAACTTCGTTTCGATTGAGACATTTGCAATGACAGCGTCTTCTGGTTGGTGCTGTTCGTCTTTCAGTCGTGACATCGCATCGGCCTGACAAATGTCGCTCGTCGATCGGTGTCGAAATCGTACGCCAGCAAAGTTGTCGCCCATCTCTACAGACGATTGGCCGTATACACAGGAATTCCTTTCTTCGAGCCAAATATAGCAAGGAGCGGTTTGTGGTCCGTTAGTAAGGTAAAATGACGACCATATAACATTTTGTGGAAATGTTTCACTGCAAACACAATAGCGAGAGCCCCCTTCTCAATTTGTTTGTACTGCTGCTGTCATGGAACGAGAGGCATGAGAGACTGGCTTCTCAGACCCATCTGGAAAAATCTGCGAGATGACTGCTCCAACTCCATAGCTGGATGCATCCGATGCCACTACAATTGGCAGTTTTGGATCGTACTGCGTTAGCATCAGCTATGAGCTTAGTAACAATTTGATACCGTCGAAGGCTTCCTGACGTTCGGTAGTCCAGACCCATGAGACGTCCTTCATCCTTAACCGGTTTAACGGTCCGCGTAAGTCGTGCATGAACGGTAGGTAGGTACCGTAATAACTCACCATCCCCAGGAATGATCTGAACATCGCTACGTCTTTCAGCGGAGGCATTTCCTTAATGTTTGATGGATCAGGTCTTCGTCCATTTTAGTCAATGGTAAAGCCCAGATATTTAATGGAGGTCATGAAAAACTCACACTTGTCCAATCGTAGGCGAAAACCATACTCCTTTATTATGTCAAGCAAAAGTTCCGTTCCTTGGTATAGTTCTTCCTGGTTAGATCCCATGCTAATGCTATCGTCCATGTATGCAGCGGCATAGGTTATTCCCTGTAGCATCGTATCCATGATCTGTGAAAGATTGTCGGGGCCGACTTAACGCCAAATGGTAGGCGTGTATACTGGAATAGTCCTCTGTGAGTGTTAATTGTTAGCAACTCGCGTGATTCTTCTGACATTTCAATCTGGAGATATGCGTCTGACAAGTCCAGTTTGACAAAACACTTGCCACCGTTCAGACGCGCAAAAAGATCCTCAGGGAGAGGTAGAGCGTATTTGTGGTCTTCTAAGGCGGCATTCAGGCCAGTAGAGTGATCTGTACATAAGCGTATCTTTCCGTCCGGTTTCTTGACAATCGCAATGGGGATTGCCATGAAGAGAAATTCCTCGGTTTGATAACTCCAATTGACTGTAGTCTGTCAAGTTCTTGGTCGACCATTAAAACCACTGCATACGGAATTGGTCTATTCGGTCGGAAGACTGGTTTTGCTTCTGGCCGCAGGCAATGATTGGCCTTGGTTTTCGTGCACAATCGCAGACCATCTTGAAACACCTGCGGATATTTCCGCTGTAAAGACTCCGTCCTCTCTGCAGATGCGTCGCTTACTTTGTTACACACGCTCGCAATGACGATTGACGGTACTGGCGTAAGTTGCGAAATCGTCCGATGCGCTTTTAATGAGCTTCATTCAGCTGTATCGGACGCTGAATAATTAAGACTGTTCACCAAAAATGTCATTTAGCAGAGGTACAAATTGGTCAAAGGTAAAATATTTGAGGCATTTTAGCAAAATAAAATTGTGAAACTTGCCATGCTCCTTCGTTCCCAGCTTCTGCAAAAGCAGACTGCACTTCCATCCGTCGTCAGCATTAGTGAATTCGGACCGGAAAACGTCTTCGTATCTTCTGAACCAAGATTCAAAAGTTGGGCCGGCATCCGGGTCATACTGAAACTCACAAATGCTGTTCGCAATCGCATCCCCTGACGATATCTACTTTTCATTTGTTGATCTTGCTTGAACCGCAAAATGCTGAAGGATATTTTCGAGCAATCTTGTCTGGCTTTCTTCAAGTTGCTTCTGTTGATGTTGAAGTATTGCGGTAAGTTGCTCCACCGAAAAAGGCATAGTTCGTGGTATTTTCGTCGTATCCAATCAAACCGCTACCTCCGCCGTCAGTCTTTAAGCCAGACGAAAACAGAAGAAAGGAGCTGTGTAATAAGGTGGTTATTTGCGTAGCAGTCAGTCTTAAAAATACTGCAACTGGACGTGCGAGGCACTCGAGGTCACATGAACACAGAATCCAAATTATCAATCAATAATTACGGCAGACAGACGCACGCGTTTAGCGTCCAGCCATGCACATCATTTGGGTCCACTGATCCATTCGTTAGGAGGTGCACCTCCGATATATATATATATATATATATATATATATATATATATATATATGGTTGGCGGCATCCGGTTTCGTATTTGACTGTCACTGTGGCCAGCCACAGAACATCTTTCTTTTCTGACGTCATTCATCTGTAAGTACATATGCAATAATGCAGTTGGGTACCTAGATTCTGCAAGACCAACCTTTTCAAAGGCTTTTTGCTTTATCCTGTTTGTCAGCTACACTTTACCGCTGGTATTGATCGGGTACTCCTTAAGCCTCACCTGAACCTGTCATTTAGAGCGATTTACCACTCATGTTTCCTGTTGCAAATCTTGCAACTCATTCATTTTAATCCCTTCATTTGTCTAGGAAATCGTTATGGGGTCTGCTGCAGCACCCTGAGTTCAGTCCCTTGTGCTCTTTACAACAGTCCGCATGGCTTGCATGACAGAAGCATGTGTTGCTTTTCTGCTCTCATTAACGTCGTGGTTACGCAAGTTGCATGACGGAAGAGCATGTATTACCGCGTTTATCCTCAGTTTCGTTACTTTTCGTTTATTCTTCTCTACGGTTGTCTCATAACTATCGTGCTCTATGCCCGAACTTACCTCTTTGATGGAGCATGGTGTATGTTCCCCTTCCGCAACCTACGCTCTCGCCATTTCCTGCCTTCTCCAAACAGTGCATTTTTCTCCTTCATTGTATGGCCCCCATCCCGGAGAACGGCTCAGTTTTCGTGTACAAGCACGTAATTCGACCTTTGTTTCTAAAACATTCAACTACTATCGACACTGCACTGGACTCCGCGGTGACCTTTGCAGAGAGCATTATTGAGGAAAGTAAGTGTGGACTTTTTTCTTTATCCCTCTTGTTGTCAAAGTCAGCCCTTCGGTGACAACCGTTTTATTCGGCGAAGACAAATAATTAACATTGACTGCACATTTGTTTTGAAAACCGCTTCCATGTATGTTGTTGAACCGCTTCCACTTTCAACGCCGTTTTTGAATCCATGAGGTCATTTATTCTGACTGAATACAAAAGAACGTGGGCCGCTCACTGTAATCTAACAGTCATCCGAATAGCCTAGACGAACGAGTATGTCTACTAAGTACTCTCTGGAAACATTTATCCTATTGCGTATGTGTCAGATACAGTTGACTCTCAGCAGTCTTCAGGTACGTTAGTGAAATCTGACCTAAACTGCTACGGTTCTAGACCCAACTTCTTCTTCCTTAACCATTACCCAGACAATGAAAGTTATATCTTCGTCACGTACAGTTCCCTTCCACACCAATGACTGCTACTGGGTTCCTGTAGGCAGTAACTTAGAAAACAGTAGCACAAACAGCTGTACTAAAACAATCATTTACGAGTGATCGGATAACCGATCTGTGAAACAAGTAATTCATAAATTCTGTGAAACAAGGGAAGTTACAAACTTCATGATTCGAGAAATTTTCCTTATGTATTAAAGATTGTATACTGCTTGCCGGTGAATGTGTTAGTTTATTTATTTTGTCTTTGACCCGAATCGAACTATGTGGACGAAATCACTTTACCTAATAGTAATCCTTCCAAGTGTCCATAGTGCGAAACCTGATTGACAGTGTACGAATGTTCGTGATTTTGCTCCTCAAAGTCCATTAACTGGTTGCTTCACTGTGTTGTTCTGTTCCCCAATTGTTACAGTTATCCATGTTGAGTGGATGGCATAAAACTTATTATTTACCATTGATCCGAATGTTTACCTGCAAAACTACTTCGGGCTTATGTATCCAGTGTGTTTGTAAAACAGTATGAACAGTTCAGTGATCTCCCGCTCCGTGAGATCGAATAGTGCTTGTCGCGGTCTTTGCGAAGCTCGATGCTGATATCTTTTGCAGCGGGACTTTAAATCGGTTCTTCCCTTTTCCCAGGAGCACTGATTTTATTTCACCCACTGCGGATTTATCAGTTTTCACCAAATATTTTTGGCATTTCCTTCGATTGGACTATTTATAGGGTCACTAATGCTGTTCTCCGTATATTTTTGGATTGCACTTTGGGACACTACGCGTCTTGCGCAGTCGGTTGCTTTCTACCATCGAAATCACAAACACTGCTTTTTGTAATCTGAGTAATTATCGTCTCTATTGACAAACTGGGCTTTGACAATGTATCGTCAACATGATGCAACTACCATGATTCAGTTCACCTGCAGATCTTGAACCGTTTGTTCGTGTGATACCCGTGTGCCCAGTACCATTTTTCCATTTACAAAGGCATTATTTTAGTCCATCCGCAGTAGCTATCAAATAATCCTGGTAATGTACCCACTTGCGTGCATACGGCGTAAATTGACTAAACTTTCATCTTGATATTGAACTGATTTAGGCATATTTCTACACCTCATTTCAATGGCGGTTTCCTGCAAGTAGACACACAAATGTTTAGAAAGAGGGAAGGATGAGGATCCATTTGTTGGACCTGTTATGCGTGTTATTCACTCCAAAAAATGAAAGTGCCAATCCTTTCATGTGTCCCGTGTTGGTTCCGTCCCGTAATTTTTGACGAAATCACACCGTAACTCTCATTTCCAAATATTGCATAACTTGATTCGTCAACGTATTCGCTGACACTTTATGGTGTCTTTTATTCTTGGAATCAGTCGTTATGTGCGTTCATCTTCTGTGGACTGTAGGATTTCGTTCAACTGTACAGTAATGACCCACATCTGTTTAGTCAAGGATTTGAAACGCATCCACTCGACACCTGTTTGAACTGATGGAAATATTGCTTTGAATGCTTATCGCTGACTACAGTAACATATTCGATAATGAGTGTGCACGGGTCACTCCAAATGTAATACGCCTTGGAATTGCTACTGTCCATCAGCTCTATTGACACTAGGTCCCGACGAGCGCCCGGTGGGTGTCCGATAGGTGACGGATGAGCGCCCGATAAGCGCTCTAGTGGCAAAAGATTATGTCGGTCATAGGACGCTCGTGGTGACATTTTTAACTGCATTCCCCTTCGAACGTTCACTTTTCCCCTGTTTTCGCTCCCTATAAGGATGGCCTAACCGCATTAACTCATCATCGCCAACAGCTGTACATCAGCCGTTTGAACTGATGCTTCGCTGCCGTACGACGGTGGCCCACGTAACGATGAATAATAACAGGGAGAGAAGGGGGATCTAGCATAAAACTTTAATGCCCAAAACAAGCATTTAATATCAAGGCGCCTACACCTTGTGTCAACAACATACAATCACAAATAGCTGGCTGTCGTGGGGAGATAAGGCGACAACAGCGAGACAGCTTTGCGGCTTTTACTGCTCTGCGTCATAATCAGCCATTACTGCGTAGATTGCATACCCACTTTACACGGACAGTTTGACTAGGAGACGACGGTGCATAAAACACTGGTGCCGACTCTGAGCCACGTCCTGTAACGTCTCGAATCAAGCACATGGTGGGTCACGTGGACTTCAGCTTGGAGGACGAGACAGACCTATAGCATCTAGTTTTGCAGTCATTTCCCGCCGTCAAGGTAACTTTTTCCTTCGTCGATCCTTGTGCAGCTCTAAATACGACAAACAAAAAAGGCCCTCCTAGGTGAGCGTTGACCGGACATACGTAGTACGAGCCCAAGCCAGCGCAACTTATTTAGTGCTATGTGGTTAAAAGAACTAACCTGATGATAATCAGTACTTGCCTACGCGCATCATCGTTGAGGGCATGCTGGTGCCATCCGACACTAGCAATGCTTCGCAGGCAGCGATGGTCAAAGAATTGAATACGCTGCAGGTCCTCGGATCGAAACGACCAAGCCTCTCCCCGCTAGGATAGAACGGCCCTCACTGTAGCACTGTAAACACGGTCTTTCAGACCGAGAAAAACCCCTTTCTGACGTCACAGATGTTGCAGATTCAAGAAAGCTGTCCTAGCTTTTGCGATACGTGAACTGACTTCAAAATTGCAAAAAGAAAAAATCTCGTAACTGGATACACTGAATTCAATTATTTCGGGTATTCTCCTCAGCTGTATACATTCACTCTGTGAAATTGTCTCGTGGCGTACAACTGGAAGCGGAGTGCCTGCGCATTCAGTTTAAATGAGAACGTTCAATGACCACACCACGGCTATTTTGCAATTTGTAAAGGGACAGTCTTGCATGTACTGACTTCATTGGGTATGCCCCCACTCTTCCTGATGCCGCTGCCAATGTAAATGAAGTGTTCAACTACCTCGAGTTCCTCGCTGTCAAGGGTCATGGGGTCATCAATTGGCTGGTAGCCCTGCAACAACACCTTGTAATTTGAAGGTGCGCAACGCATGCCAAATGATTGGGACCACTCCAGACAAATTATTCAGGGTTGATTGGGTCGTCCCAACCTCTTTGAAAAGTAATACCATATCGTCCTCTTAATCAAGCTCAACTAGTTTTCCACTGAGCTTCACCTCAATGCATGCACTGTGAGATTCTACAAAAGAACACTCCATGATGGAGTCCACGATGAAAATGAACAACAATTGGGAAATTGGACAACTCTGCCAAGTCAAGAAATCGCTTTCTTGCATCCTTAAAGGGTGAATTTTCAGCCACTTGTTGTCGAAAGTATATTTGATAAGTCACCGTAGATCCTGATGCGGCCTGTGGTGTTCGAGTACAGTGAAAAGTTTACATGTGGTCTATACAGCCACATTAACTCCCTTTGCACTACCACTGACTACAACTTATTGGAATCATACACACCTGGTAATACACAATACGTAGGTACGTTACCTGCACTACAATTTTATGTTTTTATTTTACTGCAGCTGTACCACAAATTGCCAATTTCCGATCATCCGATGAGTATCCGGCATCGGGCGCTGGAGTGACTGCTGATGCTAATAAGGAGGGTCTGTGGAAGCATGATGACCATAACTAATTTGCTAGATATTTGTTTCTTTCCTTTGCCTTTATCACCATTCCCTTCTATTGTCCTTGTGAATTGTGTCGAACTAAGAGGTGTGCAGACATAATGGGCCAAACATTCTGAGACTCGCGGTTCTCACGGAATACCTTCAGCTACCGTTAGGTTGTTTCTCGCCGATGTTGTACTGCACTGCTGCACATAGGCTTCAGCTAATGTTGACTGCTGTCTACTCTTCTGATTTCACCCCCTTGAGAATCGCCTTTTCCCCCTCTTTTCCAAACAATTATACACTCGTTTTCTTCCTTGTTTACACAAGTTGTCGTTAGGAATATTCCGGGTTTCGACTTTATTTGCACTATCAAACGGGCTCCATGTGGTCTGTTGTCATATTGCACTTCCGATATGTGGGCCGTTATATTAGAAGTGCATTCATACCACTGTTGCGCACCATGACAGTCCATCATGCTGAGCAACTGCGTTTTGAAGAGCTATGCACAACGTGCTATGTCCCCATTTTTTGCGGTACCGCTCATGCTGTTGACTGAGTGCGCTTGGACAATTCACAATTCGGTGCCCTATGTTACCCAACTGCCACCTACGTGTATTGTACTAATGCTACTTTTATTGCGACGTTGATTGACATTGAAAGGTCACGTAAGTCGGAAGTGTACGTTCGCTACAGCGTACATTATTAAGACGGAAGATAGATCACCAGGTCCACTTGCGATTTTATCTTCTGTCATGTGTCATACTCTCGATCCACGTCACCATTCCTGCGCACACCTTTGCACGTTCAGTCTTTTTTCATTGTCCAAAAATTCAATCTGCATGGTGCACGGGATTATTTTTTGCTTAACAATTGTGTCGGCACATTGATATTGAACGGAAGTCGAAGGCCCTCCTAGAACAACGATTAGTATCGATTCTTAATGTCGA